GTGTTTTGGTGGGTAGGTTTGTGTTTAGGAGAAGAAACATTAACGGTCCCACGGGTGGCGCCAAAAATGATGGTGTAAATTACTTGACCGGTCAAACTACACTAGACTGGGTCTAGAATAGTTTGCTTGATTTGGCAAAGTAAGAAAGGTAAAAACACGCAAATTGACCGGTAGGACTTTAGGTGGAACACCTGTAGCCCGATTTATATTATAAAGGAGAATGCACGGGTGCTTTTACAAGGGAGTTTTTAGAAAATGAATTCCCCTCCCCTCATTCGAGGGTTACAAGAGGTATATATACTAGGATGGGGAGCAGGACCACGTGCGCCCACGTGGGGGCATGCTGCTGGCGTGGTGTGAAGTGACTGGCTCTGAGCTGCCTTGTCATCTTGCGCGGGGGGTGGCACCCTTGTCGCGTTCTGGTTTGGAAATATTCCCTCAGCATCCCTGCAATTCCAAACACTACAGTCCAAGTCCTTTTGGATTCCTCTTGCCGACACTTCCCCAATCTCTAGGAACTACACCGGTTGGTTCTTGCAGGTGTGTGGCCATCTTTGTAGGGTGAATTAGTCGCCGGTATAGTTTGACCGGTATACCATCCTAAGCATACCGGTCAACCTTTTGGTCAACCAGTCATCCCTTCGCCGACGATCTAGACCTCTCTTGCAAGTTTGACTTCTTTGATCGGTCAACTATCCGGTCTTGACCGTTGACCGGTCATGGGTGAAATACACCCATCAGTATGTAAATTTTAGAAAAATAAATAAATAAAAATCAAATAAAAATGAATGATAAAAAAATATTTGATGTACATTTAGGATACATCTTTGACGTGTATCCTCACATCTCCTAGAAACAAAAGAAGGTGTATTTTAAGAAGTAGAGGAAGTATGTGAAAGGAGGGAATAGAGATTATTCAAAAGGGAAGGAAAGAGTGGGGCCTTTAGCCGAAACCCGGGGGCAGGGAGTGACCCCCGTACCGGCACACTACACTGAGTGGCAGTGGTGTCAGAACACACGTGTGGGGGACTGTGAGGGCCCTGCACAGCTTTATTAGATCCGTGGTGGGGGCCACCCCCTCACATGGATGCACTAATTGCTCCTCTTTGACTCATCTACTCAACTGCCACGTGTCATCCACTTATCCCCTCTACCCTGTCGTTCAACACCGACCTTTTCTGTTGACGAATTTACATTTGAAATATTTGCACTAAATATCACTAAAACTTAAGTCATTTTCCTATATAGTATTAAACTGTTTTATTCCCAAAATAGCATTTAATAATGTCCATAATATCGACGAATATTTTCTTGAATAATGACTAATGCATAATGACTAAAAGTGCTACATTACGAAGAAAAACACATGTAGTGCTATTTAGAGAAAGTCATTATGTTTTAGTGCTATTTATGTAAATTCCTCTTTACATTTTCTTAGGCATGAGCTCGTGTCTGGGCCAATCACGTTAAAATTAACATTAGTGTTTTAGATAAATTTTAACGGTATAATTTATTTTAAAAAGTTATTGTTAAACGCTGCATGTGAATAGTTTGTTTTAAATTGATAACGCTAATTTCTATCTATATTCCCAAACAGATCCATATATTTCTCCGGCCCCGTCTTTTACGAATATGATGAATCTAATATCCAAATGCACCCAAATGCACTTCCGAATCAGTTGAAGAGTCACTTATCAAAAATTAATTGGATTTTCATTATAGATTTGCAACAACGAATAAAATCTATACATGGTACTTCCGTTACGCAATACGAAATAAAATCTTAAGTTTTTTTCAATTTATTTTATTTAAATATTGGTATAGAAATAAAAAATAAAACATACATATTTTAAAACTACATCAAAAGTTCAACAATATAAGTGGTGACAAGAATATTTTATTTTATCATAGAGGTCATGAAAAAACACAAATAAATATAAATTCTCGTGAAGTTGAAATAGTGCTCTGGGAAGAAAGTTTTAGGACGGAGGGAGTATTTGTATAAATCAAATATTTGGTTTAGTTTGCTAGATCTTAAAATTCAAAATTTAAAATTCAAAATTCAAAATTCAAAAATTCAAAATTTAAAATTTGAAATTTGAAATTTGAAATTAAAAAATTTAAAACTTGGAAATTTAAAATGTTTTCCATGAAAATTATTTTTCTTCGACGAATGTCACCAAGCACAGAAAAATGGAATCAAAATTTTCCTGGAATTTTTTTCCCCAACCAAACACATTATTAATATCAGAAAATTTCTGCCAGGTATCCTCGATTTTATAATAAGAACTCACAGGTCCCATCTTTTTTAAAAATATACTCCAGGGTACCTTTAATTATATAAAAACTAACTCTGGGGGGATTTTCCGTCCATCCCTCCGTCAAATTCATTTTCTTCGTTAACTTTTCATCATCTTCTTCCCAAAATTGTTGTCAGGTACCCTCAATTTTGTAGAAATAACTTCCAGGTCCTATCCTTTTTAAAAATATACTCCGGATACCCTAAAATATCCAAAAACTTGCTTTAGAAGAATTTTCCTTTATTATTATTAGATAATTATTATTAGATTATTATTATTATTATTGTGTGACTATTACTATTATTATTACTATTATTATTGTATTATTATTTTAATTATTATTATTATTATTATTATTATTATTACTATTACTAGTATTACTATTATTAGAGAGTATTATTATTATTATTATTAGTCACTTCATCATCATCTTCCGCAGGTGTGCCGCTTTGCCTATTGAGTTGAGTTGGATTTTCGCTACACGCACTAGAATAATAATAATAATCATGATAGTAATAACAATTTCAATAATAATAATAATAAAAGGAAAAAATAGTAACTTTTTGGATATTTTAGGGTACACCGAAGTATATTTTTAAAAATGATGGGACCTGAATGTTACTTTTTAAAAAATTAGAGGTACCTAACAGCAATTTTTGGAAAGAAAATGATGAAAAGATAACAGAGAAAATGAATTTGACAGAGGAATGGACGGAATGTCCCCCCGAAGTTAGTTTTCGGATAATTAAAGGTACCCCAGAGTATATTTTTTAAAAAAATGGGACGTGTGAGTTCTTATCACAAAACCGAGGGTACCCGATAACAATTTTCTGTTATTAATATCGTCTATTTTCTTTAACATTGTGAGGAGTATTATCTATGTCATTGTGAGCTCATTAAAAATTACTTTAAATATAGTTTGAATTATATCCAATCAAATTTTACTAAAATGAGATGAAGAGACCATGTGTTTACCAAATTTTAGTTCAGTATAAATGGATTTTTATGTTTCCGAATTTATGAATTTTCGAAAACGGACAATCTACACCCTTCAGGGTCCACTTATTTCAAAATAGAACTTCCTAGGTAGGTGGTACTTGTAGTTGTTGGTGTAAAAAATTAATCCATTTGTCCCATATTTTTGTTCACCTTACACAAAACAAAAAAAAATATTCTAACTTTTTTCACTTTATTTTAGTTATATATTCTTATAAAAACTAAAAATAAAACTACATATTTAAAAGCAACATTAAAAGTTAAATAGATAAGCGTGAAGAGAATATTTTATTTTATTATATAGACTATGAAAAAATGTAAATAAATAAAAGTTTTCATTAACTTAGAATAGTGCAATGCGAAAAAAGAATATTTTGAACAATAAGAAAATTAATAGTTGAAATTTGTTTTTATAAAAAAGAACTGGTCACACCATATACTATAAACTGTATCAATAATGTAAACAACTTTTTTGAAAATTATATTTGAACATCAGGAAAAGAAAATTATTGTGATAAATTTAAGACAAGGCATGTAAGTATAACTAATAATCTATCAATCACATCATACTTTTATCAACCACATCAAAAGTATTTTTAAAAATTTATCACAAAAATATTCTTTACTTAAATTTTTTAAAAATCAAAATGAGAACATCTGAACTTTATGAGATGGAGGGAGTACTTACATACAATGCCAATTGCCAAATACTAACATACGGAGTACAATGCAATTGTTTACGGGATAAAAATATGTGCGGGCTTATTTTTGTACAAGTTTTATAATTTATTCTCACTTAAGTACTTAACTATATTTATGTAAATACGGAGTATATATTAGCCATTTTTTACAAAAATGAAAGTGTTGTTGGAAAAATATAAAAAATGAAAGATAAACTATTTTAAGAAATGGATGGAGTATTTGTTTGTAGAGTTTCTATATTTAGTATGATTATCTCTCAACGTATTTGGTGAAATCCAATTAGTGTTACTTATTTTGACATCTCTTACAAATACCAAATGTGTTCCGCATGTATTTGTAGTATACAAATGGAGTACTCCCATATTAATATAATGGACCATGCTACACTTACACCAAAAAATATACCACATTTGTACACCACAGGTTTGCACAAACATTTTGATGGTTTACACCGACACAAGTGTTGGTGCGTTAATAAAAATTCACACGGACACAAATGTTGGTGCGTTTAACAAAAATTAGTTTTATACCAACACAAAGTGTTGGTGCAAAACTGTGGGGTACAAATTGGGGTACAAAACTTGGGGTACACATAGCATAATCCTAATATAATTCTAACTTAATTTTCAACGAGAGGTTAATGTAAGAATGAAGGGTCATTGTGGGGGACAGGTGGGTTTGTTCCCATTAGACCTGGCAAAAAGTGACCCGACCTGTTTTTGACCCGAAACCCGACCTGAAAACACTGGGTTTTGAACAAAGGTTTTGATGACCGAACCCGAAGTTGACCGAACCCGAAATGACCCGCTAAAAATGGGTCAAACCCGACCGAACCCGAACTCGACCTGACCGACCCGCTAAACTAAGAATTTTTCAAAATTATACACTTTTTATACTTGTTTTTAGTGTATAAATTTATATTTTCAGACAAAATTTTAATGATATTGCATAATTATCTTACTATTTTCCAAAAGTTAAACATTTTTAAATTCCTTATATTGATTTATATATCTAAAAACTACTTTAGAGTTTAAAATAATATAATTTTATAGATTTAGTACTTTTTTTTATATTTTAAATTTATTTAATAGAAAATGTAAGTGTTAATGTGAATTTAAAAATTTAAAAAACCAAAGTCATAACCCGTTGGGTCGACCCGAACCCGATGACACTGGGTCATGAACATACAGTTCTCAACCCGAACCCGAATTAACCCGAACCCGAAATAACCCGAACTTGAAGTGACCAAACCCGAACCCGACCTGACCGACCGATTTGCCAGCTCTAGTTCCCATTGAAAAGACATCCAAATAACATCACGCACTAATCTTTTGTCTCTCCTACGACTATTTGAAATTTTGAACCACTCGCCATTTATTTTTAGAAAAATGCTAGGGGTACACCAAAGGTGTACCCCATTTGTCCCCCACCCCCTCCATTACCACAAAAATGGGCAAAAAATTTAAAAAAAATTAAATAAATAAAAAGTAGATAAAAATGAATGGTGGAGAAGGGGGTGGGAGACAAATGGGGTACACATTTGGTGTACCCCTAGCATGGCTCTTATTTTTATGTTTTTAGGGAGTAGTATGTAATTTTAACTGAAATTTTGAGTATTTTTATATATATTCGGTATACCTCCGTTAATTACATCGGAGCTAAGCCATTGATGTTGGGACCGCGCCCGCAGTAATCTGCGCCTCGTGTGAGGGGGGCGTGTTGACTTGTTCATCCCACATCGGTTATGCAGCCTTATATTGTGCTGCTATTTAATAGCTTGGGTACCTCAACCTCTTGAGTTAACTTTTGGGGTTGAATTGGGCCCAAGTCTATTGTTTCAACAGTAACCTTTTAATATAAATAAAAAATATTTTTTAGGAGGAATGAAAAAAAAATGAAGGAAAAAGGTTTTGATGGAGGGGAGGAGTAGATAGTTATACCGTAGAATATACGAAGTACTTCGGTAGTAATTTGCATTCATCAAACCAGTTGCGGATGTAATTAATTTATATTACTTAATTGGGTGCTTGATATATACGGAGTGGCGATTTACATATATTATGATTATAATTAATCGATGGAAAACAAAATTATGGTCGAAGAAGCCATATATATAATCTAATCTAATTAAGTAGTAGCTAATAATTAAGCGCGCGAACTAAGAACATGAGTAATAATAAGCTAGCTAGGCTACTGTCTATCTGAATCTATCATGGACGGACGACCAAGCTAATTAAGGTTGGATCATCTATCATCGTAATGGTAATTAAGTAACTAATCTTGCCAGCAGAGGAGCATGACTACGCATGTTCTTATGATGTAAAGCCTCCCCCTTTGCTCCTTGAGGAACTTCCCCATCGTCCTTCCGGCGCTCTTGTTGCTCCTCCCCTTCTCCGTCGTCGCCTCTCCCTTTCCCTTCTTCTTTGTTTTGATTTCCGCCGCCGACCACGACGGCGATGACGGCGACGACGACCAAGCTGACGACGATGACGATGACGACGAGCTTCTCATCTTCATTTTCATTTCCATTTTTTTCCCTTCTTATTTCAATAGTTGATGGATGAGAAGGGGATGATATATATATATATATATAAGAATGAGTGAAATAATTAATAAGAGAGGATGAGAGAGAGAGAGAGTAGAATGAAGATGAGAGATGTATGGACGGCGGCTCGCAAGCGGTCTTTATAGGGTTGCAGATCGGAGAGAGAGAGAGAAGGAGATCGAACTCGATCGGGTTGGACCGGGATGGCCCTACATCCCATTCCGCTGAAGGGCCCCACAGACACACATGTCTTCAACATGCCACGTCGTCGGCATCCTCGGGGTTGACGAGTGGGAATCCTCTGCGGCGACGACTTGTCGGCCATTCCACATTAACATGGGGTGCAGTGCACCCCGCTTTTTCAATGCATTTTACAAAAATGGATGAGCCCATCCCCAACTCTCCTCAGATCCGACTTTGATTGTCATTAAAAAAGAGAAATCAGACTATAGATTGCAGATTGGTGACAAAGAGTAAAACTTGTAGAAGTCATAAAACTTGCAGTCGTAGTTCTTGACAAAGAGTAAAACTTGTCAGGAATTGATCTTGAATCTTATCCTCTTAGTACTATATATGCTTTTGCCAACTGCACAACGTCCACCAGCAAATTTTACATTTTGGGTCTTTTTTTATCTTTTGCATCATGGGTGCAAATCCAAATGGTTATATACTTAGGCCAAATAGCGCTGATACCCCTCGTGGTTTGCAAAATAAGCATTAATACCCCTTCTGTTTTCAAAACTCATTTCTAAAGTCCCTCTGGTTTCAAAATGTTGCACCCGTGCCCCCTCTGATCATTTTCCGGTCATTTTTCCGGCGAAGAAGGGGGGCATTAGTGCATATTTTTTAAACCATAGGGGGTATCAATGCCCATCCCCAAGCTTCACTCATATCTAGCCTGACCACTACTAAAAAGAAATAAATTGGAGTTTGATTGTAGATTGGTGGTAAAAAGTAAAGCTTGCCCATCATTATTGCAAAAGTCTTGACATAAATGCTTCCCAGCATAATTGTTAAGAATCGAACTTCAGTCTTACTTTCTTGAAATTTCTTACCTTTGCAGACTGCACAACGCCCAGTAGCAAGTTTTGATGTTCACTTAATATAGTTTTCATCAATACGTACGTACTACATTTCGCCCAAATTGGTATTCTTGCGTGAAATGAAACAAAGATGAGCGTTGCTTATATGGTTTCAATGTTCATATTTTAAATGTGGATCTTCTTTTATTTTTTATAGACTTGTATGTGGATATTTAATTTTTTTTATAAAAAGCTCATTTCTTTTATGTTACAAATACACTAAGATCTATAAAATGATCATAGACCGGTGTCAACAAAACCCCACTCTCTACACATTATGGACTTTCTCACAAAATTTTCATGGATTCTAAATAGATTACTTTCTTTTTACAAGACTCCATATATACAATTATTTTATGAATTAATATTTATAAAATAAGTATCAACTAAGGAGGTACTACAAAAGAATTTGGATTGTTTTACGCATATTCAGCCAAATCCCAAATCAAACATGTTTGTCAATAAGTCAGCAATTACGAAAAACATGTCGTTGTTAAAGTGAACAAAGCTTGGTCTTACCATCACTTCACCTTATTTCTTGATGGAAAATAATGTTAAGAGTTGCCTTTAAGGCTTTAATTAAACATACTCCATACCATCCACTCCGTATTTGCACTCCAAAAAAAAAAAACTCCGTATCTTGTAATTAACAAACAAACAAAAAGCAAACTCTATTCTTTACATCGAGATCTAATTGTTCAATTTTAAATAAAAAATATTTTAAAGGATTGTGTTTAAAATATCAAAGTTCATATCTTTATAATACTACCATACGAATTTTTCATAAAATGCATATTTTCACCCGAAACTTCTAAAAGTGCCTCATACATACTCCGACTATTTCTTGAGAACCTCACAATAACTCACATGTACTAATGTATACAATTTCTTGAAAAAATTGTTGAGTGTTACTTCAAAGTCCCACATCGGTGGGATAGGAAAATTGAGGAGGGATTGGAGCCTATAAATAAAGAGGAGATATAGGCTTCCATCACACAACACAATTCTTCAATCTATATAATTGTGTATTAGATTTTAGGTTGTGAGTGTCAAATATTGGAGAGGGTTTGTAATTTTTCCGTGCAAAAATTACTAGTGAGATTTTATCCCAGAGGGGGTCGTGGAGTAGGTCTTGAGGTGCCGAACCACGTTAAAAATTTGTGTGCTCTCTTTTATTTTCTTTCCATTTATTTGCAGTGGGGGGCCAACAAAAATAAAGTTCATCAATGACGACTATTTCATCAAGCCGTGTCAACTGAGGCATGAGGAATAGATTCTAGCAAGCAGACATATGATAGCAACTATATATATATATATATATATATATATGTATGTATGTATGTATGTATGTATGTATATGTATATATATATATATATATGTATGTATGTATGTATGTATATGTATATATATATATATATATGTATGTATATATATATATATATATGTCTTCTAAGTTATTTTTTATTTTTATTCAATTCAAGTTTGGTTAAAGACATTGTTTAACCAAAAGAAATTTTTAAGGTTTCAATCATGCATCATTTTAAAAAATATGATTAATTGTGCACTTTTGAAAATTCGGTACGCTATGATATTTATAGGGACTAACAAGATTTTTTTAAACGTTCGGGAGAAAAATATGCACTTTATAAAGAGCTTGGAAGTAAGGCACACACTTTATAAAAAGTATAAGGAATTTGGGAGTAATGGTATTCTTTTAAAAGTTTAAAGGAAAAACGTGCAAAAAAGAGGGAGATAAACGACGTAACACCCTAAAAATCACCTTTTGAACATTATTAGTACTCCGTATAGTAACTCACATCCACAATTAAATATTACTCCATCCGTCCCATAAAAGAGGTTACGTTTCATTTTTTGCGCATCCCATAAAACACTTCTATATCGTCTCGAACGCCAAAAAAACTATCAAAACGATTCCTACCCACAATAAAGAGTAAATGTGGTAATTTTTAGGCATTTTAGATGAGGGTAGACATGTTTTTTTGAGATACGCAAAAAATGAAACGTAACTTTTTTTATGGGACAGAGGGAGTACAAAAGATAATATACTCGGTATTAATTACGAGACTCGAGACAGTAGATATACTCTTATCATTCTAAAGAAGAATGCTACAGCTCCCTAACAAAAAATCACATCAAATTTAGTTATTTGTATGTTTTTATTGATTGCTCCGTATTAGATAGAATAAAATATTCTTGTCAGTTCATATTTTGAATAACTTTTGATGTAGTGTTTAAAAAAATATTTTGGGTCAGAAGAAATTATGGATATGAAAATAAAGCAAAAATGTTAGGGTAAACAAAAAATGCATGGTGACACTAATTTGGTGTCCCCTATGCTAGGATTGAGTGATAAAGAAACACCTGAGGGATGAGACCAGGAAGCAACATCGCCAATACTTCCTATTAGACACCGCAATCCACTAGCTAGCTAATATAATATACTTTGCTGAACAAATCTAAGTGCATGCCATGATCCATGACTTTCGTCCCATATTACAAAAATTCTAATTAATAATAAGTGCCACAAGTACTAAATTAATTATTAATGTGAGCATACCATACCATGTGCAATCTTCATCTCTGAGTATTTGTCTAATTTTGATTTTTTTCAATTAATTATTTTTAACATTTGACCTATAATTAAATAAAATATATATTGTATATTAATTAGATTAAATAATATTTTAAAAATATTGTATATAATAAATCTAATGAAACTATTTTGTATCAATATCTAATATCATTTTTATTTAATTTAAAGTTAAAGTTTACCAATTTTGACTAAAAAATCAAAAGTTTAGGGACGGATCATTAATGTTTAACCAAAACGTACGTGGCCCCTTGTGGGCATGTTTTTCTCGTGTTTAACCCATATATATATATATATATATATATATATATATATATATATATATATATATATATATATAATTTCATTAAAGCCGTATATTAATGCTAAGCAAGCTGTCTTTGTCTCCTCCCTTGTATTTTGGCCACTCTCCGAACAATTCTCTCCTATTTTAATTTCCTGTCCCGTCCGATCAAACAACAACAGTATATATATTGCCACTCACTAATTTATTAGGAAAATGCTATGGTGCCACCACATGGGTGCACCCATGTTTCGCACAGACAAACACAGACGATAATTGTCTGTGTCGCACAGACAATTATCGCCTGTGTTTGTCTGTGCGAAGCATAGATGCACCCATGGTAGCACCAATGTGGTGTCACCCTAGCATGGTCCAATTAATTATAATTAGGAAAAATTACCCAAAATAATCCCAACTTTACCCGATCTTTCAAAAATAATCCCACCTTTCATTGTGACGCATAATAATCCCAACTTTAATGAAATTTGCCAGTTCTGGGTTGCCGTTAAGTTTCTAACGGAGGATTAACGGAAATGGCCGTTTTAGGCAACAAAATGAAAGTTGGGATTATTTTTGATGAATTTTTGTTTTTTAATTTTTTTTTGAAATTTTCATTTAAATTTTTTAAATTACTTTCTACCTCTATCATCATTTCTTTTTCCTTTTTTAAAGATTAGTCTTAGTTTAAAAAATAAAAACAATAGATATAAAAAATAAAAAAAATGAGAAATGTAACTAAAATGATACAAAAATAATAAAATAAATACGGTAATCAATGGAAACTAACTTGAAATTGGAAAAAGTAAAATAAAAATATACGGGTGGGTTTTAATATTTTAGGCATTATACAAAGTATTAACATATCACTTCTTATTTTTTAGAAAAAATTATCTACAATAATTCCAACTTTACCGGACGGCTTGTTCTTTTAAAAAATAAGTAGTACATTAAGACTCCGTATAGTGTGTAAAATGTTAAACCCACGACTCCATATATATTTATTTTATTTCTTACCAGTTTCTGTTTAATTTCTATTGATTACATTATTTATTTGATTAATTTTGTATGNTTTTGTATGGTTTTAGTTATTTTTCTCATTTTCATTATTTTTTATATCTATTTTTTTTCTAAGGTAAGAATAATCTTTAAACAAGAAAAAGAAATGGAGGTTGAAAGTAATTCAAAAAATTTAAATAAAAATTTTAAAAAAAATTAAAAAACAAAAATTCATCAAAAATAATCCTAACTTTCATTTTGTTGCCTAAAACGGGCATTTCCGTTATCCCTCTGTTAGAAACTTAACGGTGACCCAAAACTGGCAAATTTCAGTAAAGTTAGGATTATTATGCATCACAATGAAAGGTGGGATTATTTTTGAAAGACCGAGTAAAGTTGGGATTATTTTGGGTAATTTTTCCTTATAATTAAACCATATAGTATATGTTGTGTTTAATATTATGGATTTTCTCCCATGCCTCTTTATTTGAGAGGGCATGGATGCCCTTCCACTATTATTTTGACATGTGTACAAATAGTTAATGCCTAATTAATACTCCTTAATAATCTCACTTCCTTCAAATAAAAGCACACTCATCTTTTACAATTCTCAGTATAATTTTTCTTAAATTAATATTTTTCATTCCATTTTTTCGTAAGTTGAGTTTTACTTCTATATACTTTTTATAATATGTTTTCTTTATTTCTTTGATCAAGTATCAAACAAATAATGTAATTTCTAAATTTTTTTGTAAGTTTAATTTCATACTCTTTTACTGATTTATGAAATATTTTTTTAACTTAATTTTTCAAAACTAACAATACAAGTTCATTTGTTCTTTTGTCTTGATCAATATAGATTTAAGATATTTGACTAAAATTAATTATAATTCTATTTATTAAAAAATGACATAAACAACAACTACCCATTTGAATCCAACAAGAGCTGGTCTGGGGAGAATATGTGTATCAGACCTTAGCTTACCGCTACTTGAAAATAGAGAGGTGGTTTCCAAAGAGACCCCGACTTAGCATCGAAAGGTGCATTGATTGACTAACTCTTATTTTATTAATTAAATAAACACAAAAAATTTAAAGATCTATCTTACTTTATTCATTCACTGGTCATTGTTCAAGTAAATGTTCACTGCCACTAGACATAGTTCAAACTAAATGTCCACCATCATTGGACATTGTTTCTGTCACTGGACATTATTCAAGTACTATTTAGAGAATAAAAAAGTTTAAGTACTACATTGGAAAATGACATATGTTTTAGTACTCCGTATTATTTAGTGCATATTTCACTTGATAAATTAATATAGTCATGTCATTTCTAATTTTCTAGATTTTTTCATTTGTTTTTAAATAAATATTTTTTTAATTCCATACCATTTTTCATATAAAATAATTAAAAAATAACTTTAGACAAATATCGTAACGCGCAATGAAAATTTTATTTATGAACGCAGAGAATAGTTAATTATTAGCTCCATCGAAGATGATGGAAATTGATAAAATATATATGCGTGGTGGAAATTGATAAATACAAAATTAATTATCTATGCATAATTATATAAAAAATTGATATAATAACAAGTTAGTAATAAAGTAATTCTGGTTTAAACTATAATTTATAATCAAATTCATGATAAAAATGATAAATAAAAAATATAAAAATTTCACCCCATGAATAATAAATAAGTAAAGTAAAATAAGGATAGAAAATTTTATTATTCATATGCTAATATAAATATTTAAATAACAGAAATCTATTTTATACTAGTATTGTATTTAATTCGATTGCCATAATTTAGATTTCAGACTCTTGAGTCTAGATTCAAGACTTTAATCAAGGTTAAAGTGTAAAAATATATTCATGTACTGATTCATGTGTTTCAATTAAAAAATAAATAAAAAATTCAGAAAAGTAAAGGAGTATAAATTCAAATTATTACCTTTTTAACAAAAAAACATAACTAAGTTTAAGAAAAAAATAGAATGAGGGAAGGACGAAGGATTTTATAGAATATACTCCGTAATTGATAAAATTAATGTTCATTTCATAAACTTAGGTATAAAATAATCTACATGTCAAAAAAATAGTGGAAGGGCATCCATGCCCTCTCAAATAAAGAGGCATGGGAGAAAATCCCTTATATTATATTGTTTCCACCATATGCTATTTTTCATTTTATTTCTATATTTGTTATTCTACGATGATTAAGATTCTCTCTTGTATTTCTTTTATATATATATATATACACACACACACGAAACTATTAATATTCAACAAGACCAACGGTTGATGGCAATGTGGGGTGCGATGGTTATTTTTTTTTGTTTCAACTTTGCTAATTTGGTGAGGAATGGTGTTTCCTCAACCAAGATTTCTTCCGGCGGCATGCAGAACTCCTTCTGGCGCTGTTTTGGACTCTTTTTTTCTGGTGAGTTTAACTCTCAATGAGAGCACCAATAATATGAACTCGTATCTCATAGGGAAGACTCAGAGTGTCTAACTACAAGAAAGTTGGTCTTTGGCCGCACTTAAAACTGTTGTTCGCCACACTTATAAATGTGGAAAAACTAGTTTGCCACACATGCACTAAGTGTTGCTACGTAAATGTGGGGAAATTTTGGCCGCACTTTTGGACAAGTGCGGGTAATGAGTATATTAACCACACTCACGGCTAATGTTTTATTTTGCCATGTGCAACAAATGGATATTCTAGGCACACTTATAAATGGGGTAATTGCATTATTTAGCCACACTTATATATTAGCACCATCACTTACAAGTGTTGCTGATGTCATATTAATTTTAAAAAAACAATTAATATAGAATTTATTATTTATAAGAACACAAAAATTAAATTGCAATAATTAATCTTTAAATAAATATATTTATATTAATTATAGATATGATTTGGACTTAGAAAATGCAGAAACATATACGGAGTAACTTGCAAGCTAAACAACATTTGTTAAAGAATTGTTCTTTTATTAATAGAGTAAATTGGTACATTTGCAGGTTGTGTACTGCCCTGACTCAAAATACACTAATCCCCATTTCGATTACAAGAAATAAAAAACCCAAACTGAGAAATTTCTCAATCACTTTAGGTTGATGCAGTTCTCTTTGAATTTTCAAATGCAAAAAATAAGACTTGGACTCCAAATTCTGCCTAGTGGCCTGCAGCCTGCTTCAAATCAAATCGCGCTGCAACTCTGGTGCAAAATAGGCTCATAGTCTCATGAAAGAAGTCTTAATGAAGCCAACACCTCCAAAAGAATAACGTTACTCATATTACCTCTGCCAATCTCTGCCTTCATGTTGAAGTTCTTTATCAAATGAGTAAGTTGCTCTATCTATCTGCAAATCACTAAAAGAGTGAGGATTTCACATGCTGTGAACGTAATCTAAGACAATAAAAAAATGAAAGAACATCAAGACTTTCCCTATTGCACAACATAACAAAAGAATCCGGTACAATCTAATAAACTTAGTACTTTAGTCTTCTTGAAACCTTTTTATGGAGTTTTGCTATTAACATTGATCAAATATCGTCAAATAGATCATCAACGAGTTACATGAGACTAAACAAACTCTCTTAGATGGAACAAATGAGAAGCAGCAATGGCCATCCAAAATGGATTTCACTCCAAGGCAGAGTACCTTGGCTATGATCTCAACCCTATCATCTCTTTTATGCCCAGATAAGAGAATAAGGTGCTCAAGGACTTGACCGTTAAAGTCTACTGAGTGAACTATTAATCTATTATAAAATGCAGAAAACACTTATATGCTTCCAAAAAAATATATTTATCACAAAATACATTGAAAAAAGTTTCTTAATTAGTTCTCTACATCTTGAGCAATGAATTTGAACTTTCAAACAAAAAGAACTTCTACTAGTAAGAATAGAACGTTAGTCTTATAATAGAGTGGTCTTTGAGAATTTGTTTTCATCTCATTCTCCTAATCTACTTCAGAGATTGTACAAATATGCTTATCACATGACATAAGATATTTTGATATAACTATCCAAACAAAGTAAAAAATTTGTAAATCCTTTCATCTTATTCTGCTTTTCCATTTCAGATAGATTGTAGGAAACTTTGCATATAATAATCTCATCCAAATAACATCTTTCCTCAAAAATAACACTTGGCACAATCGTAACAAATGATATATACTATACTACACTAAACAGAAAACCTACACCTAATAAACAAGGAGGAGAATTTAAACAACCAATGAAGATATTGACTACCTAAAATGAACTCATTCTTTGTGTATAATAATATGTTTTGGAGTAAAGAGTACTAACAAGTCACTCCAGTAGCCAATACACCTAAAGACTTAGTAATTTAAAACAAATGGGTCACACTTATCTGGTCCAATAGCTTGTCATATTCAGAACAACACAAAATCAGCTCCCAGAATACAACTTATTGGAGAAATAATTTCAACAATTTAAGTGCCATATATTCTGGTAGCCTAAACTACAACTACTTCCAATCCAATTTGTTGACGAATAAGATGTTGATCACTAATAAAACTTAGTAGTCTCAGTAGATGTTGAGCACATAAATATTCATTTTCACCACATAATAAAATTATAATCAAGTTCATTTACTCTAATTTTTTAATTTCCCAAGCACTACTGTTGAACAATTGAAATTCAAAGTGGACAATACACATTCAGAATACTAATAAAATTGGGTAATAAACACAAAATCAACACATAAACAAAGAAGAAAACGAAAAAACAAACATAGGTTCAAAGATAATACCCTTGAAAATAGCCTTTGATATAGGCAAATGGTTGCCCTTCCCGTTCCTCCTCCATTGCTACATCAGCTTGCTAATTTGCTATTTTCTGATAACCTAGACCTGATGTGTAAAGAATATCACTGTGAGGTGGGAGCCTCTGTGATATATGCTCCGTGTAAATATGAGAAAAAGTTTAAACGGAATAATAAAACTCAGGTATTTTAATATTTTAAAATCCAAATCAATAGACAATAGAGCTCATGAATAAAATCTTAGAATTGGAAAATTAAGATCTAACAAATTATGAATACAGAAATAAGAAATTAAAAGTTTTAAAATAGAATGAGGAAAAGTACGATGGTATTGTTCTGTCTTCTATCCACATCGTGAGCCAGTGCCATCGCCCATGAACCTGCCATTGTCGCTCAAGTCTCCGCCGTCTAAGAGAAGGGTCATCGCCGCCGCAGTAGTCACCGCCCCCCATTCGGAGGAGGTCGCCGTTGAATTGTTTGAATTTCAGATCTAGAGGTTCTCTTGTCGCTCTCATCGTTGTCGACCCACACACGTGTTAATTGTAGGAAATTGTTAATTTTTTGTAAATACCCATGTGCTACAAAATAAGAGTGTTCCCATGGTAGTGCGTGGGGGGAGGGGGTTGTCAATTGCCCATGGTGTAGTGCGTGAGCAGCAAATGGGAGTGTGACGTTAAATAACGATGTGTTAGATTGTTGATTATATATATTGTAGGGTACGTCAGTTGTCGATGGTGATGCAGCGGACGTCACATGGGAGTGTGACCTTAGATGGCAATGCAGAGGGTGGTAGCGTCTAATGATAATAGTGTAGCTATATTTAAAATTTTAATTGAAGGACATAAGTGTGTACTCCCTCCGTCCCACTATATTTGTCCACTTTCATTTTTGCACACCATCCAATACACTTCTTTAATCCATTTTATCTTGTAATTTGTATATTAAAAAATTATAGAAATTATATATTAATAATCTATATGTTCAGACAAATCAAACAAGATCACACATGACTATATTTAGGCTTACACATTGAGAGAATTTGATGAGTCAAAGTGTTTAGATGAACAGTTCCAAAAGTCAAAAATGGACGAATATAACGGGACGGAGGTAGTATTTTATTAACTAAAAATTTAATATAAAAATATAAGGATATTGTTTTCTTATAATCAAGAAAAGAGAGAGTATTAATTCATCAAAAAAGAAAAGAAATAATAGAGTATGAAATTTGACATTTGAATATACCTTATTAATTATTATGCATTATACCATTTCTAGCTAAACTTTGTTCATTTTTTTTCCATGATGGGTTACATGATAAAGTGGTATTTAGGGAGAGTTGATTTGTTCCGAAGTCAACCAGCCCAAGTATGAAGATTGTAGTTAGCCAAAAGCCAAACATATTACATATCTCTTTTTTGATTATATAGTTACTGTCGTCTAGCTTTAGGCATGTTATCAAATACTCCCTCCGTCCCTGAAACATCTTCCCCTTTTATTTTTTCTTTGTCCCACAAGCTCTATCTCTTTTCTATTAAAAACACACTTTTAATTACCCATTATTTTTAATACCCTACGTATCACATCATACTTTTTTACTAAGAATCTATCCATCGCATCTTACTTTTATCCATCACTGTATTTTTGGAAATTTAACACCAAAATATCTCTCTCTTAATTTTACAAAAAGTACCTCTTTCGGGGACGGAGGGAGTATATTTATAAGTTCTAACCTTCACTATTTGTTTCAATTCCAATAAAGTTTGGGAATGTAGTCCCAAAGTTTACTAAGATTTAAATACTTGGTGTGAATTGATTGTACTCATAATAGTGTAATACATTCTTCTTGTTGTGGATGTTCCAAATTTGTTTTTTAATAGCTCCTCTCTTTCAAGCGACTATATTTCTAATTCCAAATTTTTCCAATTACTTGGAGTGCAACTATCTTAGCTCTTGCTTAATAAAAGCAGCCCTTTTGTAATCAATTGAAGAGCTCCATGCACTAGAAATTTTTACATATTGACTAAACACCAAAATAACCTCTTTTTAAATCTTTCCAAATTTAAGTAATCATGTTTTCAAGGACGGGGGAGTATTAGTTGAATTTATTTGTTGAAGAGTTGTGAGATTTTGGTAGAATTTCAGAACCCCTATAACCTATTGACCAACCTTATCCCAATGCTTTTATAAAGTTCACTACTAAGGTAGTGTTCCGCTCAACTTATTTTTTATGCTTATTACTTATTCTTATTACAATCAGATTAGATCAAAATTAACTTTAATTATAACTGCAATTAGATTAAATCAAGTCAGATAACACCAGATCAAATTTTCAAAAGATCAGATCCGATCAGGCGAGCAAAATATAGCCTAAACCATTATGGTCCTAGACTTTTAGAGTTGGGTATACCAAACACAATCTTCTTGATTTGCTTAGAGTCAATAGGTTGGAGAAGGTCAAGCGGCTGGCTGATATTAAGCACACCATGTTCCTACTTAGGCCCCGTTCCGTTCAACTTATTTTGTCTGCTTTTTCTTATTCTTATTAAAATCAGATCAAATCAGATCCAATCAAGGATTATTATTATTATTATTATTATTATTATTATTATTATCGTTCTTAATAATGAAAAAGAATAAACATTAGAAACAAGTTAAATAGAAAACTGAGAAAGTAGTCTTTAATTATTAGACTTCGGAATTTTTTTAAAAAATACATTGACAATGTCAATCAAATTCAACTTTTAAAATACATTTTTATTTCTACATGTAATTTGATATTCATATACGGAATATATTTTAGTGTAACTGAAATCACTATTATATCTATGGTGTTATATTAATCATAAAAAAAAGTTTTGTAGTACAAAGCACATGTTGATACTTTATAAGGATGAGATATTTTAATAAAAGTACTCTCTTTTCTATATTGATTATCTAATTTTAATTACTTTTTAATGTATATATGAATTAAATATTTATTCTAATGTATATATAAACTAATTATTAAAATATTAAATCAATATTATTATTTCATAAAAAATAATCATAAAATAAAAATATTATTACATTATAATATGAATGATTATTCTAATATATGAATTAACTCATTTTATTTCATTAAAAAATAATCATAAAATAAAAAAATATTGATTATATTATAATATGAATTATCATTACAATTTTCAAACGTTATTATAAAGTCAAATCAAATTATTAGTCTGAATTTTAAATCAAATCATAGTTAATCAGACAAGATCAGATTAGATTAAATCAAAACTATAAAAATCAGATTAGATCAAAAAAAGTTGAATGGAACGGAGCCTAAATAACATTTTGATCCATATCCTTTTGTAATCTTTTCAATTCCAAGCAATCTTTTATAGAACTCCAACATTTAGGTTTTAAAAATTCATTACTTTTATTTTACTATTTAGATATTTTCATACTCATTTGAGTGATTTCTATTGTAGTGCATCATTTTCATTTGGTCCAAAATTTTTAAATAAATTTATTTACAACAAATCTTATAGTTCCTGTGTTCCAAATCAAATTACACAATTTGAAGAATGTGGAAAATCTTACACTTTTGAAAATTTTATTTATTATATTAACAATCTTCCAGTACTTCATCAAATAGATCTGAACCATACATTTTACGATTCTCAAGAAATATACACTTCCTCTTCGTTTTGGTTTATTAAGTTTGATCGAAGATATTTTTATTTTTAATATTTTAATTATAAATTTAAAATTTAAAATTAAATTTATAACTTATGCAAAATTACTGAATAATAAAAATAAACAAAAAATTTAATGAAATTCGATCATACAAATAATAAAGAGTACAAAGTTTTAGGAGGAAGGATTATTTTCCACCCAAGTTCCTTAAGTCTTGTTTGGAAACAAAGTCTTCAATTAGTGTTACCGTTTAAAACAGAATTTTTAATAATGTAGATTAATTTAGAAAATGGTATCTCTAGAAAAAAAGCTATGGTGGAATAGGCTTCCAAACTTTTCATTCCACCGTTTCAACAATTCAGTAATGTCAACAGTCAACCACAATTTTCCTTTCCTCTACGTTCTATATCTCTATTTCAGTTCCTTTCTTCGCCTGCTTTCTACGGTTTGTCTGGTTCTGTTCTTTTCTTCCGAAAAAGGGTCACTTTGGCGTCCGAGGTTGGCGGTAGGACGAAGCGACGTCGTATCTCACGGCAGACATTAAAAGCTTCGGATCCTATACTTGAAATGGAGTGTTGATTCAAATGCGTTCTCCACCTTTTCACTTTCCCCCTTCTGCCTTTCCTTACCCTTTCCACGCCATTATTACTTGAATTCCATTCTTTTGCCCTCTGTTTCTTGAAAGAAGCCGCCATTGTTACTTGTCTTCTCCCCTGCTTCGCCGGACCCGTTCTGTTCCTCGTTTTATTGTTAGTATTATGAAGGTATTAGGCTCTGTAAGTAAAAATTTCTTCTTTTATCCGCTTATTCATAAAACCCTACTGTTTTATGTTTGTATATTTATTTAATTATTTATTTTGAGATTCCAGTTTGTTTTCGCTTATTAGTTCATCATCTTTGGCAGTTATCACTGTTTCTGGCTTTATGGGTCGGTGAAAAGTGAAAAAGAAGAGGAAAAATTTGAACTTTACTTTGAAAAATGCCACATTTTTTTGCGTAATTTGGGAACTTTTATTTTTAAGGAAAAAGGGTTAGTCGTGATTAGTCTAATAGGCCTTGGGTCCTGAAAAAATGGTTGGGAGATTTCGGGTGGAAAGAATTAGAACATGGAAAATTAATAGAAACATCATGTTAAATGTTTATTCACATTAACTAACATGTTATGCTCACTACAAGAAGGATATCAATATATATTGCCTTTTTTCTAATATTTCTATCATCAAACCAAAACGGGGAAATCCAAATATGTAGGAAAATTCCAAAGGATCGTTATAATACTACCTAATGTTTACTACGTCCGCTTGGTTTGGTTATTGTGAAATTTAGAGGGAATCTTTTTAGTTTTATTGTTGTTGTTCCAAACATAGCCCTTGGAAAACAAAAATGATGAAAAGAGGAAGCATTAAGGTCCTTTTTTTGTCGAACTGCATATTGTTTCTACTGTGTTGGTGTGCTAGGTTTTTACTATTTATTGTCGGGGCTCTCTTGAAAATAGTCTCTCAACTCGTTGGTCGAAAAAGTAAAGCCTGCTTAAAAGTTACATCTTTTCATCAGACCATACTACATGTTGGACATAGTCACTTTGTTTGGTCTAGTTTGGCTTGTGTTGATACATTAGTTTGGTCTTCCTTCTTAGTAACCACATTGAGTATCCTTAAGTTTTTGAGAACTGGACTTGGCAGCATTTTCCTTTGGCACCATTTGTTGGTGAATTCATCAATGGACCTCATATAAATCAAATAAGCATTTGCTTACTACTGAGCTAAGCATTTTTTAATTTCTTTTTGATAAAAAATAAAAAATCAAAAATCAAAATTTGTATGAGAACGTCTATATGAGCCTTCTGGACCTTAGTTCCATACTAGAATTTCTCCCATTTGTTATCACTAACTAAGTTGCACAGAAGTGGGGATGGGGATACACCAAAACTTTATTAATTTTACAAAGAATCTGAGTTTGGGAACATCCCCAAGTACCCATATCGAAATGTTTTGGGGACGGGAAGAGACATAACCGACACTTACTTGAAGATTTTGTGCAACATAGATCAATAACAAGAGATGCTTCTCAACAAGTATGCAAGACCATTAAAATGTTAAATGAGTACATATAACATATTTCTATCTTAAAATGTTTTTAATTGGAATTTGAATGTATGAGTGTGAGATATCGGATAATGACATTTTTACTTTCTTGTTCCCTTTCCAGATTTTTTCTCTACCGTCAGATCCTAAGACTCGATCGTGCCTCTGCAGTCTATTTGTCACTGCTGCGCTACTTTGTGGTGTATACTCCACAGGAAATGTATTCCTTGGAAGAGATTATAAGGCAATTTTACTTCTGGGAAACACAGTTGTAACTGTTTTGACAGGAGAAGTGTTAGTTATTATTGTGGCCAACGATTTGACAAAGCAAACTTTTTGCAGATACCTGTCCGGTTTGGAATGAGTCACTCACTACGAAGTGCAAAACCGTGCAGGCACGAGGTATTTTAATCGTGTTTTTTTCCCTTCAAAACTCAAAAGTTAGCAGTGGTTTTATACTTTTATTAATCATTTACTACACTTCTTTCTTTTCTTTTGCATAAACGTTGTGATCAATTAAAAAATGAAATTGATATGCAGGCTTCATCTGCAATGGATGTAAAAGTGAACGATACAAAAAAGAATTTGCAGACTAGTAAATGCATGGTAATGACTTTGTCTTCTCCATTCATATTGGTGCTCTGAAGTTATAGATTGTTTCTAACTCTGATACCAGTATCTATCGATGTATTAGGAAAATTGCAGACCTGTTGGTAGTGAGCCACTTCCAGAGGGAGTTGTTTGTAAAACATCAAATTTGGAAATGCAGCCTTTATGGGGTCCTTTCACTCATAATGTAAGCTACTTAGCTTTTAAAGACCTATGCCTATTAATGACCTCTTTTCTTCCTCTTTGAATTTCTATTAGCTTTGCTTCATACACTTTCATCCAACATATTTGAAGCAGGAAAAATCTCAGCATGAGATGAATTTGTTGGCCATTCCAGTTGGGATAAAGCAAAAAGAATTAGTCAACCAAATCGTTAAGACGGTGAATCCTCTCTCTCTCAATCCTATTTCAAGTTGGCTCCTTTGCATTGTGTTAAGAGTAAAAATTGCAAGCTTGAGCTTTTGGTTGATTTGGTTCCTTGACAAGATATCAAAGCCTTGTTGACCTATATCTCACAAACCTCGGCTGCACTGGACATGTTATTGAAAAAAACAACATAACCTGGGCTTACAATCACAATCTTGAACTCTTTGTTGAGTTTGTTCCTTAACACATTGGTTTCTTATTTGCCGTTAACAGTTTCTAGACGACGACTTTGGTGTGATGCTGTTTCATTATGATGGCGTAGTGGACGAATGGAATGATCTCGAATGGAGTAGGAAAGTCATACATGTATCTGCGGCAAACCAAACAAAATGGTATGGTACCCTCCGTTGTTTTTGTATCAAGTGATGCTCCAATACAATATTACATTTCAGCCCTTCATATATGAGCTTGACAGCTTGTTAATGCCCAGGTGGTTTGCCAAGCGTTTTCTTCACCCAAATATAGTTGCCGAATATGATTACATCTTCCTGTGGGATGAAGATCTTGGAGTCGAAAGCTTTCATCCAAAAAGGCACTGATTTGTTATTTCTTAGCCACTTGTGTCTGTAAAACAATAATTATGGCATGCTTTTTAACATTACGCATTGTTTATGTTTCTAGGTATATATCGATAGTGAAAGAAGAGGGTCTTGAAATATCTCAGCCTGGACTAGATCCTCGTCAATCAGAGGTGCATCATCGCATTACCATGCGCAGAAGGAATTCTAAAGTGCACAGGTTCGACTATTTATTGTTTCGGGTTTAAAAAAAGAAGAAAAAAAAAGAACTTTGGGCTTTTACATGCTAAGTTGTTTCTCTGATTAGGAGGTTCTTTACATCAAATGCCAACGGATGCAACAACAACAGTAGTGCTCCTCCTTGTGTAGGGTAAGGATTTCAAACTGTTGGAATAATCTGTATAGATTAATCCAAAATCTTAATGACGTTACATTTTATAAAACTTAGATGGGTAGAAATGATGGCTCCTGTATTTTCAAAAGCCGCATGGCGTTGCGCTTGGTTCATGATCCAGGTACTGTATAATCACTCGTTTGTATGCTCTATGAATTCAAACATCGTCTCACCGTTGATATAATGTGATAAATTTTTTTATTATTATCAATAGAACGATTTGATTCATGCGTGGGGGTTGGATATGAAGCTCGGTTACTGTGCTCAGGTTTGTCTACATCACACCCCTTGTGGTGGTTTTTTTTTTGTGGTTTTTGTTTGGTTGATGATTTATTGTTGGTAACGAACTTTTGGCATCGATAGGGCGATAGGACAAAAAAGGTTGGAGTTGTTGATGAAGAGTATATATACCATTTGGGCCTTCCTACGCTTGGTGGCGATTCTCATAGGCATAAGGCAAGTTTGTTTCGCTCAACTTAGTCGCCACCAGACACATGGGTCAAACCACAATAAAACGTTGAATGCATATCTTATCTCATCCATTATTTTTTTCTTCAAAGTTCGAATGTGAGACCGACAAATGTATTCAAATCTTTGTTTTTAAAGTTAGTCCGACTACTTACGTTCAAATTTCTACAGCTGAGCTCTCCGGAGCTTTCCCTGCCCAAGAAGAGCCTCATGGACTCAAAGGCAATGGTATGTCTCCTATAAACTAGACTAGGGCTCCTATTTGGTAGGTACGGGTTTGGCTTTAGACTTGTTTGGCTGAAACACATAAGTCACGAAACGATTTTCATTTGAGAAACTTCAGCAGATATTTCAGCTAGCCAAACATGCCATAGATTCAATTCTCCTAACCCATTGCAACTGATTTAACAACTGTTTGGCATGACAGGGAGCTACCCCATCAGTGCATAAACCAGATAATAATAATAGAGCAGAGGTACGTACGTATTTCTAGTTTTCGTGCATATTGACACAAAGGACAAACGCAGCTTTGTGTAACGTTGCGTTCCATTGTCTGCAGGTAAGGAGGCGATCGTATGATGAAATGAAGGCTTTTGATAGACGGTGGAAAAGAGCCACCGAGGAAGATGAATGTTGGGTTGATCCTTTTAAATAACGACGACGCCTCACAAACATCATTGTACAGAACAAGAAGAAGAAGAAGAAAAGGAAGAAGAAGAGAGATACTGCTTGAGAAAGAAATCTTTTTAAGAATTTTTTAGTTTGCTTCTAATTTTTTTTGGGTAAAAAGTTGTCACTTTTTTTATTTTTTACAGTACTGTAAAATGAGTAGATTTTCTTAGAATTTGTTCATACGAGGGGAAATGAAGAGTTCCTTTCACTAGTTCTTTGAGTTAAAAGTGCCATATTCCTTTGAATGATGATAATAGGTGTACATAAATATGAAATCCTTTTATATGTGAATAATTAGTGAATATACTTTTGAATAAATTTGTGTTTGTAATTGTGACATAATTATCACAAATAACTCTTTTTGGGATGGGAAATGCAAAAGAATGAAATGAATTGGTTACAAATGTGAATTCATCTAAATCAACAAAAAGTCTTAATTTTCTTCCATCATAAATTGTTGGATAGATTGGTATTTATGGTGGAAGAAAATTAGAACTTGTTGAGATTGACAATCACTTCTCTCTAACTATTCGGTATCTAGTGATAGCTGTCAATGTAACTATTCTTCGATAACTATTTTAAAAAATTCCCACCCATTCTAGAAACTTTTTGGGAGTACCCTTCAACTCCTATTTGTTCAGTGGGTAATTTTAGCTTCTCTCTAGTTATGTAGTGAGAGTGGTCAATGGGGTTGACTTTTTTAGACTACTTTTCAATGGGGTTGACTTTTTTGACGACATAGTTTTTATTATGCCTCCAGTGTCAACATTAAAAAAGTTTCAAAGATGTACCTCTGTCCCATTTTATAGTGCCTGTTTCGGTTTACGATGTTTGACTGAAATTATTTTCAAATCATTTTATATGACAAATGGTTTAGAGTTAAAAAATAAAAATTTTATATTAAAATACTACATCAAAAGATCTACAAAACTAGTAGTGACAATAATACTTTATTTTATTAAATTGCTAACGAAAATAGAGAAAGAAAGTGAATGAAATTTGACCTTGTGAATAATAAACAGACACTATAAATTGGGACAGAGGGACTATATCAAAATTTTCTTATCACGTTGTGTTTTATAGATTTATTTTTTTTATGTAATTTTAAAATATATAATTTTTATTTTTTGTTTCTATATCAATTTGTAAACATAGTTTTTCACATCAAATTGAACTACCATTCAAATATTATTTAAATTTCGCAGTGCACCTTTTTGTCTTGAGAAATACTCCAATCAAATAATTCTTTCCAAATAATACACATGTCTACATGTAGAATTAAATTAAATAAACAAATGTTAAAATGTGTCCATCAAGAAAACTCCCAATTAACAAATCATAATTATAATTTCAAAAAAAATACTTAATTTCAGTGTGATGACATGCTATAAAATACAGAGTATATAATTAGAAAATGAGCATATCTAAAGAAATCTTGGTTTAAAAAAAAGAATTTTTGGTTAAAATTAGAACTATAGTTCCAAAAAAATATTCTCTGAATATCTAAACAAAGAGACAAAGTGATGGTTCACAAGTGTACATGAATACTTTGTAATACCAGCTCCTTCTAGACTATACATTGTGCTATTAAAAGAAAGTAAGGAGACTAAATAGCCTAAATGGTACAAGTGCCAAAAGTTCTAGCACAGCCAAGCAGATAACAAAGAAAAGGGCAACAAAAAATAGGATTAAACAGACAATCTGTGAGTTAGAACTTTTAAAACCCCATTACTTTGGAGGACAGGTTTAGTAAAGGTTCAAGAGCACTGGGAGCAAACTTCCTAGCAAACAGGTAACAAATGTGTGTTTTCTTGGAGTTGTAGAAACACGACGAAGTGTCATTGTTCCTTATGCTCTCTAGAAACCCTTCGGTAATGTTGGCTGCTGCGTATGTTGCCGGGTGGGGCCCACCCAAAGACCAGTCGACGAAAGTCACCGAGCGGTTAGCGTTCTTGGGCCCATAGAACATGTGGAGATAAGTTGGAATGTAATGCTCGTCTGGGTAGCAAGAAGGATGGCAATAACTCTTGAATAGGTTGTAGTATTTGGTGTCTGAAACTATTTGGATAGCCAAAGAACGGCCCATCTCGAACCATTGAGACCCTTTCCTCCAATCTGGAAGTTTGATATCAGGATTCATCCGACGGTTATATCGACCGCGACCGTAGCGGGATGGGTCATCATACGATTCAACAAAGCTGTGGACTGATTCAGTGAGGTATTTGTAGACGGTACGGAAGTTGTGAAGTGGGATACAGCTTTCGGACAGAAGAACGAACCGTTCGTTTGAAAAGTCAAGAAGAGCATTGGCTAGAAGACGCTTCTCTGCATCAACCAGTGATACAGATCCCCACTCAACTTTCTGAAAAAAGAAATAAGGAAGATTAGTGTGTTGGCATAATAGTAAACAAATTAACAGCTTTTTAGGCATATTCTTGCACCCTTGCTTTGAAAAGAAACAAATTTGATCCAAGAAGTTTATCAAGTATTTCAGGATGATATTATTACACATGTGTAACGAGTTTTACATCGGCTATAGGACACTTCTAATCATTTGTTTGAGATTTTGCAGAAGGTACGAGCTTTTATTTTTGGTCAAATCGATCAAGGTGATGGCTTTTACATGTTAGGAGTGGTGCTTATACCCCTAAAACTTCTTTCCAAGATGGTTTATAATGATTGACGGAAAGCGTTTGGCACTTCGCATTACGCAAATTTCACATTAAACCCAAGTGGATTTTTAAAAGGAGATTTTTTGTGACACAAAAAGATCTTGAAACATAACTCTTTTTGGGTAGACTACAGATCGAGTATTATATGAAGAAAAGAGTCCATTAGGTCAGTATAAAACTCAGTTTTACAGTAATAGTGGAATCAATGTCAGCTCCAGCAATGTTTATTCCTCATCTTACACCACTGTCCTTGTCAAGCAAACATTATAAATGGAAGAATGGAACTAAATTAATTTTCGGAACATTTGACTATAGTACAATGATATCGACGAATGTTTTAAAATGCCAATTCCATTCTATTCTTGGCATTTTGCCCAAATTTAACTTCTGGAACAATGAACTTGAGTATGATGGTGTTGATGATTGTTTTTTAATGCTTTCATTCAAGGGATGAGATTTTCTTTTCCAGAATCGGATTCCAACTATCGGATTGTTATCACACTTGGCCACAAGCCAACAGTTGGAACACCATATGGAATATAATTTAGAAATAGAAGATATCATCCATATCTAATCAAAAGATAACTAGAAGAAGAATGCACCATTTCCCTAATATAGTTGTGACTGTTTGAGTGCTCTGTATAACACAAGAACACAAATTACTAAATAAGTCACATAACCTAAATGAGTGAAGCATCAATTATTACAAAAAAAATCTCACAGGATATAGATAATAACAGAAAGTTACCTGACTTTTGATTTGGCGATTGTAGAAAACAGAGGTATTGGCCACACCGAGGTCATACCCTGGAGGGGCGTGCACGTAAATCTCGTACTTGTTCTTGTCCTGCCACTCAAAGAACCTCTCCCACAAGGGCATCATGGGCAATGCCCCTCTGGTCAAGAACATGAATGCCACTTTGGGCACCCTCCGAAAGGGGTACTCGTCCTTTGTAGGCACCATAGATGCCCTCCAGAACAATTCCTCGTCTCTCATACCGTGAACCAAGCTGCTCGGCCTGATAAAACCCTCCATGCTCAAACAATCATTGCAGACACAATTGGTTGCTGAATAGAACAAGGCTGTGTTTGTGTGGGGCTGTTGAGTTTGGAAGCTGAGGTATTTATCAATGTGTGTGCTTGAAGCAAGCCCTATGACCACTCCAACCACAAAGACAATAAAAGTTGAAACCACTGCCAATAGACTAATGGAATACCTTGATTCATCTTTTTCCCCTTTACTCCTCATCCTATATGCCCCTTTTCTTAGCTTTTCCTCCCTTGGATTTCAACAGGATTTCCCAAATCCCAGTCAAGGCAAAAATCAAGTTTTTATCTAGAAGAAGACTAGGGCAAAAAAAAGTCAAAATCCCTAGAATCTGCAGTAAAACACAGAGAATAAATGCTTCGAACTTGGAGAAGAATCCTCTCGGGTTTCAACGGGGGCCTAGAACCCCCCAAATCTCAGAAATTCTTCGACGCGATCTTCTTTGGACTGAAAATAAAGCTGAGGGTTGAATGAAAACAGTTCCGAGAAAGAAAAGAACAATGCTTGCTTCTACAGACTTGCTAGAAATATGGATCGGATTCTTCTGAGCTCGGAAACACCAGAACAGAACAAACAGGAAGATTTCCCTTCGTGGTCGGCGAAACTGCGAGTGGGGAAAGATGAAAGAGGGGGCGGATTTGGTGCACAAGAAGAGAGAAAGCTTCGGACTGGAACGCAGAAATGGAGGAGGATGTCGAGTTTAAGTCGAGGGATGGGCGGCGTTAATGGGGGGTTGTTGGTAAGATGGAGGCGGAGGGCGGCAGAGCGTTGAAAAGGTCATCGGCTCCTCCATTTACACCCCCCCTTCACGTGTACTCCGTACACTGTAAACGCCCACTACCGGGGGAGCCCATTCACTGCTTTTCTGGCTCGATCTTTGGTTGTTTTGGATTGGTATAAGGTTTTTTTCTTTAGGAGTAGTAAGCCCATGATGTCTTGTGGGGCTTGACCCACCGACGCGAACGGACCATTACGCTCCGTCACGGTTTGACCATCAAGAGCCTGGTCCGACGTCTAGATCATGAGCGAGCCGTTGCCAACGGCTTAAGATTTCTCTTAATTATTTTGGGTAATAACATTTGATTAACTTTCAACATTTTTACTTATTCTATTTCACAATGTTTTTTTTAACTATTTTGAATTTTTTCAGATTTCTCTAGTCTTTTACTTTGGTCCAATTTTTTTTTTGATTTCTTACAAATTCTTATAATTTCTCTCAATGATAAATTTTAAAAAGTATTTAAAGTATTTTTCAAATTATTATTATTAAAATTATTATTATCATCATCATTATTATCATCTTCATCATCATTATTGTGGTCGTCGTCAATGTTTGTAAAATAAAATAACAATGATGTATTGTCATATCTTATTTTAAACTACTTTTTTTCCAAAACAAATTTAAGTTTTCAATATATAGTTAACATTAGATATTAAATACTCCTCTATCCAAAAATTTCTATCCGATTTGACTTGACATAAAAAATAAGAAAAGTCAAAAAAATATAAAGACTCGCGTCCATACTTACATGGATCCCTACCAAATTTTCGTTTGGATAAAGGCAAAAAGATGCCAAAGTAAAAAAAAAAATTACCGTCTTGCATAAGCCATCCTTTGCGGATTGAAGGGTCTAGGGAAGACTAGAATTCACTTCAAACGTATAACATATGGACATGTAGGATTGGATGAGGGCTGGTTCTCACCGGCATACCCCACGTGGGAAGATTGGGACGGCTAGGTCAACCTAATGATTAGAGATTGGCACATTAAAAAACTTAAAACCTGGAAGAGGGGCCCTGGAAGAAGGGTGTTGCCTGGAAGAGGGCTGAACCTTGGAGAGGGTTCGCGATCATAGGACATGGTCAAAATCTCCAAAGAAAGATCAGGTCTTGATGTTGAGACTTAAGACGAAAACCGTTTCGAAATTTTCGTTTGAAATTCGATCAAGGTAGCTGTGGAGCATGACATCCAGGTGAGATGGACATAAGAAAAATGGCATGGTCAAAAGTGACCGGTCACTTCTTGGATGTTCTGGATTGGCAAGAAAAGGCGAATGGGAAAAAGCAAAATTTGACCGGTCAACTTTGAGAAAAGTGACCGGTCACTTTTTAAAGGTTGGATTTGGAGAAATCAGACCAATCTGGAAAAGTTTAATTTTGACCGGTCATATTTTTGACCCAGCACCTGGACGCAACGGGATCAAACCATTGAAAGTACACCAGGACGAAGTTCAACCTAGACATCTATTACATTTCAACCTCGAAGTTAACCGGATCAAAAGACAAGCCAAAAACAGAATTGACCTGGACGCTTCCAACCTGGAGACCAGGACATGAGATGACCTGGAAGTTTTCAAGCCTTACATCTAAATTGCTCTTCAAACTTTCAACTTGGCCTACAAAACCAGGACATGAGATGACCTGGCCGTTTGTTGCAGTTCAACCTAGAAGTAAGCCGGCCCATAAGACCAGCCAAACGTGAAGTGCCCTGGACGTTGATGAAAATAAAGGTTTGAACCTGAACGCTTAAAAAACGTACAAGACCTGGACATTTTCAAGAGATGGAATTGACCAGGACATGAAAAGACCTGGACGCTTTCAACAAAGCCTACCAGACCTAGACATTTTTAAGGCGTTAACCAAATACCAGGACATGAGATGACCTGGACAACTCCAAAGGGATAAGACCGGTCATTGTTTTTGACTTGGAAGTTAAACCAAGCATGTTCAAGAAAAGGCAAGTCTGACCATGCAACTTCAAGTAAGGACCAAACAAGGAAATCAACCATGCAAGAAATGATGAGCAAGCGAGAAAAAGGAATCAAACCATGCAAACTGAAAGAAGAAACAAGCCGGTAAATTGAAAATCATGCCAAACAAAAGATAATATTACACAAGTCAGAAGTAGGCCGAACATCCCCCAGGCCTTGGGAAAATTCAAAGTTTTTTCAAACCAAACCCTAACCTACTCTAGGGGAAAGGGGGGAGTTGGCACTTCCTCGTACAAAGCCGGAAGCTTCATCTTGGCCGGGTCAAAGGAAGGGTCCCTCTTCTGAAGTCTGGCATAAAGAAGGGACCTCTCATCCTTCTGCCCACATTGGAAGCCGTATGAACCGATCTCTGTTATCATTCTCTTGCCCTCCGGTTCTTTGTACATAGTCTTGAAGAAATCCATGGTCTCCTCCGGTGCAGTGAGTATAGACCGGGCTACTTCCAAGTGATTGCGCGCAGCCCAGCCAGCAGCTTCAATGGGGAATGCCTCCTCCTTTGACCGGGCAGTTTCTTTGGCTTGGGCCAAAGCATCTTCCAGCTCGGCCACCTTCCTCTTCTCCTCCACCAACTTGGCCCTTTCTTCCTCTAATTTGATCCTTTCCTCCTCTAACATGGCCCTCTCTTCCTTCAGCTCTTCCTCAAGCCTCCTCTCCCTTTTTGCCCGGTCATTAATCTCTAACTTAGCAGAATCAAGGAGAAGGGTGAGTTCGGAGACCTGGTCCTTCTCCTTGATTGTTTGGCCAATCTCCTCTGAAATGACCCCGGCCTGCAAATTCAAAAAAAAAAGAGGCATATCAGTAAAAGCAAAGCAAAAAGTTAAACCGGGAAGGAAACTGGAGATGAAATACCTTGCTGAGTTTTTTGGCCAGGGATAGGAAGGCTTCTTCGATGGATTCCCCCTCCCTGTCTGATAAACTAATCTTCCTCTTCTTGCCTCCCCTGGAACTCTTATGAGAGCTCTTCCTTTTTTGGTCCTTGGCTTTTGAAGAAGAAGATGCACCGACCTCTTTAGCACCTGATTGGACCGGGACTTTGGGGGGATTAGCCCGGTCACTCTCAGAATGATGCCTCGCTGAAGGAGATTTCAGCTTCTGGCTCTGCTCATGGATAGGGCTACACCGGGCACTTGTGGCCCCATCCATTCCAGGAAAGTGAGGAGGAGAAGGAGGATTGGAGAGAGGAGACCGGTTGGAGTGGAGGACTTGGACATCATCGTTGTCATCTTCGATGATGGTGGTCATCCTGTTGAAGTTCATGTCTGCGAAAAAGAACAAAACAACAAATGACTGGTTAGTTTTTAAACCTTGTACATAAATAAAGAAAATGAAAGTAAGAAGCTTAAGAGAAGATGATCGACCCGGATGAGGAGAACTGGCCTCAACATGACCATCCGGGGAATCGGCCCGGTCATCTTTTGCGTCATGGGTCGCAGATTCACCCCCATCCGGATTAGGTAGCCGGAATACCCAGCCTCCATAGGCATAAGGTTTCCCGGTCACAGGATCACCCTTGAGAAGTTTCTCGCAGGCGTCCTCAAGATCTTTAGTGGGCTCCGGATGAACCCTTTCAGGTTTTATAACCCGGTCAGCCCACTCAGGGTTAGAGAAAGGAAATTGGTCAGGGGGAATTCAACGAAAACAAATCTTTTCTTCCATCTTTTGTGGCTAGGGGGAAGACCGGTCACAAAAGACCTCTTATTACGAGAATGAAAATAGACGAAGCCCGGGCAGTTACTAGTCCCGGGCAAGACTTCGTACATGTGGAGGAAAAGCTCAAGGGAAGGGTCGATTTTCAGATTTTCACAGATATTAACAAAACAATTTAAGAACCGGTGAGCGTTTGGAGTAAGTTGACCAGGCAAAACATGAAACTTCTTACAGATTTCAATAAGGAGGGGGCGAAGAGGAAAAATAATACCTCCCTCCAGAGAAGCAACATGGAAACCCAACCGGGTTCCCTGGTGGGGTTCAATGATGTTGGGCCAGGTGGTTTTGGAAAGGACTTTGTAGCCCGGTGGGAGGATGGTACGGACCTCTGCCAAAACCTTTTTGGTAACCCTGGAAGACTCTTTGAACACCGGTCTAACATCAAGGGCTAGGAAGCCCAAGGATCCCAGTCGTTCTTCCCATTGCTCCCAGCTGAGGACCTTGGGATTGAATCGACCGGGCAGTTGATTCAGAGGGACAGGCTCCTGGGCAATTATTTCCCGGGCCTGAGAGTTAGACTGTTGGGAGGGGCGACGAATCAAAGGAGTGACAGGGGGAGAAGAAGATTCAGAGTGGGAAGAGGAAGAGGGCTGAGAGCCTGATCCATAGGATTGGCCAGATATGTTTTGACTATCAGAAGACATGACCAAGGCCTACCGGTCAAAAATGGAAAGATGGAAGAATTAAAAGACTAGGAGGACTGGAGGACTTACTTGGCAGAGAGCTAGAGAGAGAAAGTTGACCGGGCAAATCAAGAGAAGCGAAGGAGGAAAGNTATAGGAGAGAGAGAGGCGGTTGGGAACTCGAGGCGACACGTGGAAGAGGTAATGATTGGGGGGGGGGGGAATTTGAATTTTGAATGGTAAGGTGAAAGGTTTTGGGGGGAAAATCCAAAAACTGAAGGGTCAGGGTCAACGTTTGGACTTCCACCAACCCGAATGGCCAGGTCATGCAGCGTATTCCACGAATCTAAAAGTGCCAGGTTTGATATGAAGACGATGAATCCAAGAAATGGGCAGATCTCCATAGAAAGGTCATGGGAATGGATTGACAATTTAAAAAAGGGACAGGTCAACGAGAATGACTTGATGATTCCAGAAGAAGACAGGTCTGAACGGAAAGGTCTGATAATTCTAAAAGCGACGGGTCTAGAAGGACAGATCAAGGGAATGACTTGATGATTTCAAAGAGGGACAGGTCTTGGGAATGACTTGATGATTTCAAAGAAGGACAGGTCATGGGAATACCAGAATGATTTCAAAAGTGATAGGTCAACACAAATATACTTTCCGCCCTTGATGATTTCCTCACAAGCCCGGTAAGTGGAGGACTTCTTGATGGGTATATCCTTATACCCGACCCGGATAACCGAAAGGGACAGGTCAAGATATGACCGGTCACTTTTATCAATCACCAAATGAGGTTAACTCTTCGATTGGGATTGGTCAAAAATTGACTGATCACTTCCACTAAAAAAGTGACCGGTCACATTTTGGGCGATAACCAAAATATCACTTAATGTTGTGAAGAATTCAAGAAGACCAAAGAGACGGGCTGAGCTCAAGAAATGACCGGTCAACCTTTGAGAAAAAGGTGACCGGTCATATCATCTTACTTGACAAACATTGGTCCAGTATCTCAGGCATGATGAACCACGTCAAAGATCGAGGGACCACCCCGCCGTTCGTCCATCACGAGACAAACAGTGAAAGAGATGTTTGTCACTTTGCATGGCTGATTGGATTGAGAATATCCATCTATAGTCTCTGATTGAAGAGTACATGTCTTGGCTTATAGTTGCTAAATTCTATGATTGTATAGTGCTTCCATTATCTACAGTGACCTTCCCACGAGCTTCCTATTTTGTCCATGGATGAACAGGGGAAGGTCACAAATCCTCCTCTATAAATATGATGATATTTGATAGAGGAGGGGATCCAATTTTTCTCTCACTAAAGTTCACTCTTGAGATAGAGTAAGAAATATAATTCGGACTGAAGAGATTTACCCGATCTAGGTCATACTTTGTGTTCTTGTCGTGTGTTTTATATTACGGGTCGAGTGTGTCTAGGTCAAACCCGGTTAACTCACCCCGCTATATTTACACCATCACTATTTACAAATATACTTTATAAAAAATTCAATAGCGAATTTAAATGGAATAAATAATAAATAGAGCCTAAATCAATAATAATGAGTGTCATGATCAACACGACCCACCGATGGAAAATGTGTGGGGTACACGAAATGTACACCAATACAAAAATAGGCACGTACAGATACTAAATATATGCGTACGCACATGCATTGAGTGTCTCTGTGTGTCTAATTTTATCTTAATGTACATCTTGGATATCCCAAGTGAGATTCTCCTAACAACCCTTCAAGAAAATAATTGGTGAACTCCACATGAGATTATATTACATATATACGAATTAAAAAATAGGCAAATAATGACACTTAATGTTTGTGTATGTAGAGACTCAAAATGTCAATGTATATCTACCTTCACAGTAAAGGGAATGCTTGTCACTATACAACAATGGATTGTGACATACTCATCTTCCCTAGCATATATCACTTTCCTTTAAAGACTCATTATTTAGATGGTATTTGGCACTTGTGTTTTTGAGGGTTTAATTTCTGATTAATTATTATATTTGGCAAACTAAATTCTATTTTTTTCACCATTATTTTGTACATATAATACTGTTTTATTTTAGTTTTTGTTAAAATCACTTTACTTAGTTTACCCTCCAACAAATTCTAAGTCAACTGGACAGTCACTCTATTTCCGGCACTGCTTCTCTGAGTTTCGGCCGCCATTACGAGTTGGAAGTGGAAGACTGGAAGCCGTCAAGAAATTGCTCCCTCTTTCTCTTTGACTCATTCTGATTCTTTCGAGATTCCATCTTTCTATCCTCAAACTTTGAATTTTCCCTAAAACAAAACCAGATGGGCAATATGTTCGTCAAAGGTCCTCCTCCGGTGGATTCTCCGGCGGAACGATTCGACATTTCCGCCGATCTGGTTTCCTACCTGTCGGCATGCGAGAGGGACCCGGACTTCAGAGCCTTCGATTCGACCCTCCGAGACCGCACCACCAGAGCAATCCACTCCGTCGCCGCCAACCTCGATGGCCGGACCCTCTCCCTCGACTGCCTCCGGGAAGTCACCGTCTGCTTCCACGACATGAACCACCAGGTGGTCAATTTCATTCTCGAGAGCAAAAGGGATGTCTGGAAAGACCCCGACCTCCTAGATCTGGTCAAGGAGTACCTCGACAACAGCCGCCACACCATGTCCTTCTGCACCGCCCTAGAATCCTCCCTCCACCGCGTCCACTACAGCCACTCCATCCTCAAATTCGCCCTCCAGAAGTTCCACGAAGAGACCACCCAGATCCAAAATTTAGGGTCCGACCCGACCCTATCTTACCCCATGACTCTTGAGCAGCTCAAATTGTTCAAAGATGCAGGTAATTAATACATTAACAAACCATATCAAAATTAACAATAATTGATCACATTCTAACCACAGCATTAGTTGAATGTAATCCAAGATTAGCTTTTTATCTTGTAATATTTGCACTAAATAGCACTAAAACTTAAGTCATTTCTTTAAATAGCACTTAGATTGTTTTCTTCCCTAAATAGCACTTTATAATGTCCATAATGACCAGTGATGTCAAACATTTACTTGAATAATGACTAATGTATAATGACTAAAAGTGCTACATTGAGAAAAAAAACATATGTAGTGCTATTTAGGGAAAATCATTATGTTTTAGTGCTATTTAGGTAAATTCCTCTTTTATCTTTAGTAATTTCGACATTGATCATAAATCTAGTGACACTCACGCTTAGTGACACTAGCGGTGCCAATGTCGTTTTAGGCACCTCCGGTGTTCCGTTCGTAAAATTGACAGTTCCTATCCTTAACCCTACCCCTGCACCCCCACCCCAACACTGTCGTAAGCCCCTCCACAAAATGTGTAGCTATTATGCATAATAGCATTGCATAACAGCCACACATTTTGTGGGGGCTTACGGCGGGGTTGGGGTAGGAGTGCGGGGGCGGGGTTAGGGTGAGGGGTTTAGGGGTGGGTTAGGGGGTACGAATCGTTAATTTTACGAACGGAGCATCGGAATGTCACCGTATTCCGGTATCCCTAGAACCACTAATCATAATTTCAAATTACTCCGTATGTTCCTATTACTTCTTCCTATGCTGTCTTGCATTTCAACATGTGTTTGATTAAAGAAATCGATGGAACAGGGAACCCTTTCACGGAGAAGTTCTTTTCGCAGTTTCGCGTGATTTACACGAAGCAAGAATCAATGTTGAGAAAACTCAGGGAGAAGAAGAGGAGGCTAGACAAGAGGCTGCAGAGGAGGAAGTGCTGGAGGAGGATCTCCAACGCCATATTCGCGTCGGTGTTCGTCTCGGCCCTCATCTGCTCCGTGGTTGCCGCGGCGGTGACGGCACCGCCGGTCGTGGCGGCGCTGGCGGCGGCGTCCTCGGTGCCGCTGGGGAGCGTGGGGAAGTGGATCAACAGTCTGTGGAAGAAGTACGAGAGCGAGGTGAGGAGGGAGAGGGACGTGGTGAGCGCGATGGGGGCGTGGAGCGAGTACGTCGTGCTCCAAGACTTGCACAACATCAATGCGCTGGTGGATAGGTTCGCGGTGGGGGTCGAGGGGTTGATGGGGGCGGCGGACTTCGCCGGAGGAGGAGGAGGGGGAGGGAGGGAAGCGGTGGAGATGGCGGTGGAGGAGATAAGGAGGAACGTGGAGGGGTTTATGGAAATAGCAGAGGTTCTGAATGTGCATGCAGATGAGTGCAAGAAGCATATAAGGATGGGTAGAGCTGTCATTTTGCAGAAGATCAATGAGCAGCCTGCTGCTGCTGTTCCTTCTTCTTCTCCATCACCCAGTTGTTTGTTCTTTGGCTGAAACTCTTATGATTTTTTTTGAATAGAGTCTGGAGATTGGTATTTGGACCAACAAAGCCTATTTTGGTCTGTTTCAATTTCATTGCGGAGAAGTTGTAATTAATTGCTCCCAAAATAAGGCCTGGTTCAAGAGAATTTGTTTATATGTAGTACGGCAATTTTTTTTCTCCTACATTTTTTTTTTTTGGGAAAGTATTTTTTCTCCCACAAATTTATTTTCCCCAAGGGAAAGCACTATCCTTTATTTTAGTCTCCGTTCATAAATTGTCTTTCTGAAATGGTTTATTAACATTTTCTTTGTTTTTTAAAAAATAAATAAAAATTGATAGAAATTTGGGTGGGGGGGGGGGGGGG